TTCAAAAACATTGAAATAAACATAAGTATATTGAAAGTGTTGTTTAAAAAAACAAGTTAAAGGTTTTTAAGAAGAAACTCAAAGTTTAATTTAGTTTTGTTAGTAGAAGTAGAAACATAAGTAATTAATAAAAATACTGAATAAATAATAAATGTTAATGATGATTGTTAAGTATAATAGCATGTTTATATTTCGAATTGCAATACCAAAATTATGACTTTTTTAAGTTTTAGAAATTTCTCGAGAATTCGAGAATTCCCGGGAATTCTTCTCGAGTCCCGAGAAAAAAAGTAGGCCGAGAAATCAGAAACCCTAGATGGAAATCCTATGAACTATACCAAAATTTTGTTTCGTTTTCATGCTATATTTAAAAAATTGCAAAAGTGCATTTTCACCACTATCTTCAATTTCAACCCTCTAATTTAATAGCACCGCGCGGTTTTTTTATTTCTAATGACCCTTCGAACAAGTCATGTGATGAAAATCCTTGAACGTCATATTTCCTTCCTTTTTTGCAAATAATGAGAATTAAAAACTATAAGGGTAAACGCGACGAAAAATTGGCTAATTGTAAGTTTGAGCGGCCATATATCAGTCAATTTTCATCCAAAAATACTTTACAACCTCTTATTTTGAAGGAAATTTTATCTACTTTTTTTTCTATGAAGCAATGCCTATACCTAATCTGTACTCAAAAAAAAAACTAGAGGCAAGAAAGTAAAAAAATCAAAAAATCGAACTTTTTGCTTTTTTCAAATTGTTATTAACGATTTTTTGCATAAAACTTTATTTTTAATTTTTTAAATAAGCCGTTTCGATAGGAAATTCAATTCTCTAAATAATTTTTCCTATGAACTAGAGAAGTGCATTTTCACCTCTATCTCCAATTTCCACCCTCTAATGTAATAGCACTCCGCGGTTTTTTCATCTAAAACGACCCTTTGATCAATTCATTTAATAAAATTGCTTGAACGTCTTAGTTCCTTTTAACCCTGTTTTTTGGATGTAATCAATAGCCTATAATATAGGTAAATAGACAGATATCCAGAAGAAGTAATTTTCCATAATTGCCATTTTTTTTCCAAATCTGCTACAGATTTGTCATAGAACAACTGAGGGGTATAGATGCAAAACTCACATTATCCACTTTTTTTTAAATTTTTCAGGAAGAAGGAATAACTGATTTCTCACTTTTTAAGTGACTTAAGATTCTGAAATTTTTTTGGTATTGTATTAGAACTTTAACTTTGCTTCTTAATTGGTGAAATGACAGCACAACATTTGACTCCAATAAAGTGAATTAAAGTATGGATAATGTGAGATTTAATAAACTTTTTGGATAATGGTAGTTTTGCTCCAAATTATTCTAAATAATATTATTTTTTACACCAAAATTCATGAAGTTAAAGGAACTTTGAAACAAACTCAATATCAATAAAACTTTTATGTAATATGGTAGTTCATAACCAAAATAAAAAGCTGCACAAAATACTTAGAATACGGTTTTATTATCAGTGATGAAGTGAAATATTTTTATAATGAATCTAAAATTGCAAAGTACAAAAAATGTTGAGAGTAAAAAGTTCTAATATCCGATATTTAAATATGAAACTTCAGAACGAAACTTATCTTACTTATAATCAGAAACTCATAGAAGCACACGGAACCAACCATCTAGGAAAGCAAAACAATACGAGAAGCAAAACTCACATTCTCCTTAGGCAGTCGGCCATATTGGTTTATCATTTTAAGCTTTTTCATTGGTGGATATATGGATAATGTGAGTTTTGACAACTTCAGATCGTAGGAGAATGTGACTTTTGAAACAATTCACAGATTTCACAATTTAAAATTAAATACGAAAATGTGAGTTTGTACCACTTCTAAATTTTAAAATGGTGTAGTTCAACACGATGAACAAGATAGCGCCACTAACTCTATTTCGAAAAATTATGGATAATGTGAGTTTTGCATCTATACCCCTCAANATATCTAGGAATCAAAATAACACAGTCCCTAAATTGGAACGAGCAAGTAGAACATGTCAAAACAAAAGCCCTAAAAGGAATCAACATAATGAAATCACTTTGTGGTACATGGTGGGGAGCAGATCCATCGACATTGCTACTCATGTATAAAGGAATTGTACGTTCACATCTCGATTATGGTTCACAGCTGATGAAACCCTGCCCGAAACAAGTCCTTGCCAAATTGGACAAAATGCAATACCAAGCACTAAGAATCGTGACAGGATGCATGAGGTCCACCCCAACTAACGTACTATTAGCAGAGTGTGCTGAAATGGCACTGGAGTACAGGAGGAAGTGGTTAGCAAGTAAATTTGTACTAAAAATAATCGCAGAACAAGAACACCCAATCTCAGAACTATTACTAGAACTGGACAGCTACTGTCAATCCAAACGAGGTTACTGGACAAGGAGGGAGGTGCCATACATTATTGAAGCGCTAGAAGAAGTAGATCAACATGCGAACAACATACATGCGGAAAAAATCCTACCATGTTTCGAAATAGAACACGTACATCAGATAACTCCAATTGAAGTTGCTAACATTAACAACGACAGAGCGCAAATAAACAGCAACAAAGAATTTCTAAGTATATTTGGACCAAAGTTTGAACAGCATACCTGGATCTTCACCGATGGTTCTCTCGACAAAAATCAAGGAAACGTGGGACTAGGAGTGTTCATCCCAAGCATCAACCACAAATTTTCAGCAAGACTTCCTCAACTCACACAAATATGCACTGCAGAAGTTATAGCGATAAACAAAGCCATTACCATATGCCTAGAGAGGAACCTGGACAAGTCAGTAATATTCTCGGACTCAAAGTCAGCTCTACAAAAAATCTCGAGCACGGAAATCAACAAAGATAGGGACCACATTTCTCTGAAAACAAAAAGAATGTTGTTAGAAGCAGAGGCAAACGGCTGCGAAATCAAATTGGCATGGATTCCGGGTCACTCCAACATCCATGGGAACCTAGTGGCAGACACACTGGCAAACATTGGAAGAAATTCTGAAAATCAAGTAGAAGTAGAACTAGACAAAAATGATGTCCTACCAACAATTAAGCAGCAAATACAGGCTAAATGGAAACAAGAATGGAAATTGAGTACAAATTCACGAGGTTTCAGCTATGCACAGATAATAAAGGAGTTCCCAAGTTCCCCATGGTTCACCTTGTTTCCATATAAGGACAGAAGGCATCTAACAACGATAATTAGAATGAGAACAGGTCATTGTTTAACCAACAAGCATCTGCACAGAATAGGAATTCTGACTCACCCGTATTGTGAATGCGGACAGGTGGGTGACTTAAATCACATCATATTGGAATGTCCACTAAATAAGAATCCTAACTTTGACTTATATCAGGAATTATCCAAAGCAGGCATGCAAAATCCCTTTTCGATTACCACTTTGATAGAAAAACTTAATTATCAAACGATCTCCATACTGTTAAGGTTCTTAAATCTTTGCCGTGTCAAATTGTAATTCAGTTATAATTTTTTTTTCTTTCAGAAAAAACCTTTGTCCCCATCTCTTTTTAACCTGGGTGCTTCTCTCCAATCCGAGGCAACGTTTCGGTGTGTGTTAAGGCTCGGCTGTTGCCCCCGAGCGAGAAAAGTCTATCCTGTGTTGTGTTGTTTACTAACCCCATTTGCACTCCCGCTCAAGATATAGGAATCAATCGAGGGAATATGAGTAACCAATCTCAGATGCACTTCACGGTGCATTCCCTTGAATAATAAAAAACAAGTACATAAGAAGCTGGCTAAATACCCTCTGGGTGAAGGCCAAAAAAAGAGGAAGACTATCTCCTACTAAGTGAACCGATTTTTAACTGACGTTATTACGGGAAACAACTACTACGTGGACTACGCGTGCCCCGATAAGCATATCTAGTAAACATTTAGTTTAGGTATACCAGTTTCGGACTTATTAGTCCTAAAAGAGAGACAATTGACAAATTATTATTATTATTAACATAATAAGAGTAGAGATAAGAACCTATAAAATTCAAGAGCAAAAACAATATGAAAAAAGCTGAAATATAAGCATATCTACATAAAAAAAACAGTACTATTGGTACAATACAACAGATTAAAAGAGAATAACAACCATGTGGAGCGAAAAAAATGTAAATACAAACAAGTACAATTATTAAAAATTAAGTACATTATCAAGTTTGTTTTTAAAAGAATTTATAGAAGAAGCATTTACAACACTGTTTGGTAAAGAATTCCAGTCATGAAATACACGGTTGCACAAAAAAAACTGTCTACATCTGGTAGTATAATTCCGATGGTTAAATTTGTAATTGTAGCCACGAAGTCGAATATGAGTACCTAGATAACACATATAAATGTGATAAATCTGTAGAATATGTGCCATGAAGAATGCGATATGTGGTGATCAGATCGCCACGCTTAAGCTTTTCGATTTCTAGGATTAGTTTGAAAATATTTAGTGTCTTTTCATAAGAAGGCCGAGTGATACCATAGAAAAGTCTGCTGGCAGCACGTTGTAACAACTCAATTTGAGGTTGGTCTCTTACCAGATTTAAATACCCCACAGCTGAACCATACTCAATGATGGCTCGTATGTAAGTTTTATATAAGCAATTAGTAGTTTCAGAGGGAGTAGATAATATTTTTCTGAAAAGAAATAACGAGCGTTTAGCTTTATTGCAAGCAGCAGTTATATGAACTGACCAAGTGAGGTCATTAGAAATCACTACACCAAGATCAGTTTGCCTGTCCACTTTTGACGATAGAATGCTACCAATTTGATAATGTAATATTGGGTTATTCTTATCCAGGTGCAAAAATACACATTTTTTGTAGTTCAGCGATATTAACCATTTCTTGCACCAATCTGTTACAGCAATCAAGCTTTCCTGCAATAGTTGATAATAATCAGTAAGAGCATTCCCATAAATCTTTGTATCATCAGCGTACAGGGAGCATTTAAGTGTCAATATTTAAGGAAGACTAGAAAGGCAGGCAAACTCCGCTGACGCGGAGTTTGACCTTTCTC